ACGGGGGATCGGAATCTTGAAGGAAGGCGTGCAAGAAATGTTGAAGGACCAAAGTCTACCACTCGATTTGATGATGGATGACCAACGACTTTCTTCCAATTGTAAAGTGTAAGTGATCTGGAGAATCCCCTACCAACCATCGAGTAACCAAATATTGCAGAGCGCTTTTGGCAGTACGAACTGCCTCTGTCGACTCATTTGAATGGTTTAGAACCTATCCGTCTCCACATAGCGAGATGGAATCTTCGGTTGTCGATGCATTGTGTGCCAGTATGGCGTTGGCGACTATTTTTGCTCCAGTAATGGTTGGTCCTGAGTATGCTGCGGAAGAGTTTAGTGGAGGAGGGCTTGGTTTTAATAATCCGACCCGCGAGCTACTCAAAGAGGCACAACTAGTGTATGGCAGAGAGCGGCAACTGTCAGTTATCTTGAGCCTTGGAGCCGGACGTCCCAAAGAACTCTCTCTGGAGGGCCCCGGAACCGACTCTGGTACATTGGAGGAACTCGTGAGAAAGCTCACGATCAGTTGTGAAACTGTCGAGAGAGATGTCTCCTATCAATTGTACGACGTGGGAGCATACATTCGTTTGAATGTAGACCAAGGATTGGACAGTATTGGCTTTTATCAGTGGTCACAGCTGGGGAAAGTCACCTCTCACACAAAACACTACCTTCAGAGGACTTCTGTTGTCAAACTCGTCGACGCTTCAATTATCGCGCTCGCCGAAGAGCAAGGGGTCATGGCTTTAGGTCAGCTGGGTAAGCAAAACGAAGCTAAAAATTCTTATAACCATTCATCCGATATGTTATAGCCCGCACGACAAAAATAAAACGACAGGCCAAGGCTCCACCCGCTGTATCTCCTTATTTCGTCGTACGAAAGGGCATTTGGGAGATATTTGAGTCCAAAATCGTGAATACAGAGAAGAGTGATCTGAATAATCCGAATATATTTGTTATTACGGGCATGGGAGGATGCGGGAAGACTCAAATGACTGCATATTTTGTGCAGAGGTATCAAGCAAGGCATGTTATCCGAAACTATGAGTCCATATTGCTGATCATGGTTTCTTAAGCTTCAAACATATCTTCTTCGTCGATGCAAGTTCTCATTCCACGATTCAGAGTGACTTGAGGAACGCAATAAGGTCCATTGACGGACACCAGCAAGATACCGACGAAGATGCCCTCTCTTTTCTTTCGAATCACCCAGATTCACTGCTCATTTTTGACAATGCCGACAATCCGAAACTAGACCTCGTTGCATTCTTTCCAAGATCCTATCGCGGGATTATTCTCATCACATCTCGGGTTCGTAGCTTGGGGGAACTTGCAACCTTACATCATCTCGAGCTCGGTCCAATGTCAAACCAAGAAGGGATAGAAACGCTTGCCAAAGCCTCTCGGAGAAAACTCCCAGTCTCTAGCCGAGATGAACAGTACATGAAAGAACTCGTTGAGGAACTCGGTTGCCTCGCACTTGCTTTAGTCCAAGCCGGGGTCTATATCTA